ATATGAAATAGCTTTCACTTCCACATAGAGCTTCCCCACCTTTTCCTGATCTGTCAGATCTGAAAGCAGAGATATATTAAATAATAAATTAAGAAAAAATATTTTCATTATGAAAAGCAATTTAATATATAAATTTTAAGTAAAACATGTTAAAATATGAAAATAAATTTAGAAAATATAAATTTGTGAAGTCCTGTTAATGTATTTGTGTTTTCATATTTCTGGCAAGTGACAAATAACAGAACTAATAACTAATAACTAATAATAAATAATAATCTTAGCATTTTCATATTTGTTTACAAATACAAAAAGGCAAACTGAACTACATAGAAAGGAAAGGATGAGAATAGGGAAAGGGAATGAAAAGATGGGGAAAGGGGAAAAGGGAAAGGGGAGGGAAATGGGAAATGCAAGGGAAGGGAAAGGAAGGCAAGGGAAGAAAAGGCAAGGCAAGGCAAGGCAAGGGAAAGGAAGGCAAGGGAAAGGAAGGCAAGGCAAGGCAAGGCAAGGCAAGGCAAGGCAAGGCAAGGAAAGGAAAGGAGTTATTCTGTATCTTATAGAATATGAAGAATCTTATGCTTTAAAGAACAAAATACTTTGATTTTAAATTGAGCACTCACATACGTAAAAAGCAAAAGGAGAGCTCTAATTAACAGTCCCAAAAATCTCGTTTGTAAATGCAAGCCCATCTGGTCTCTAAATTACCTCACAGTATTTGGTTTACATCTGCAGCTGAATGCAAAAGCTGATGCTTGGGAAAGTCATTGTCTGAAGGCAAATTGTGATACTTTGGGGTGGTAGGGTGGTTTATAAGCCAAAGAAATACCAGATCCTGCAATATTTCTCCACACAGAGGCAGTTACCTGACACAGAAGTCTTTCAGAGGCAGGAGACAACGAGTTTAAGTCATGGGAAGGAAAATCAAAGAACTAAATAGGTTACTCCAAAAGTAATTTCTCTTGTTTATTATCTTAGGGCAGTGAGTTACTGAAACAGGTCACCTTGCGTTGTGATGGATACCTCGTCCCTGGAGATGTCCTGGGCAACCTGATCCAGTTGTGGTGTCCTGTTCATTGCTGGGAAGTTGGACTAGATGTCCCTCAGACGTTCTTTCCAACTCTAAGAATTCCGTGATTCAATGAATTATGTCAATAGAAACTACAACAGATAGGAAGAGCACAATAACACTTTTTCTTAGAGCAAATTCTCAGCTACAAAACACTATTTGTCAACACTGCCACTGCCATTAGCTATACATTTCTTCCAGGAATTAACGACAGCTTGTATGCCGCACTCCTAACAAACTGCATCAGTGGTGGTGACCCAGTGTAGCAGCTGCTAGTGCTGAAAACACAGCACCCACCATCTCACTGTGCTCACATCCACTGTTTGGTCTCCATAAATATTCAGCAAGTGTCGATGAATGTCAATGGGTGTCATTTTTTCCACATGGAGGAGCTGAATGACACACCTTTGCTCCATACACACTTCCCTGTCAGGTGTCATTTAGTCACACATGCTTTTTTTTCCAGTCTAGTGTTCACTAGACTGGAATTATTTACAAGCCTTGAAAACTGGATTACAGTCACAAAGAATGTCACACTATCTAGTTATACAAGCCTAGTGCAGGGTAATATTAGCAACACGATGATAAAATATTACAATAGAGATCATTTTAAGATTTTTAAAATGTAACAAAATATTAGAGAGACAGGTGGGCTTAATTTTCTATTTATGCAGATGTCATTCCTCAGATCTTCATTCCTCAATTACAAGAACTAGGCAAATACATGGTTCAGAGCAGCACACAGCTTTGGCTCTTTGACTACTAGACTGGAACTACGGTATAATCTCCCTAGACCATGATTCAGTTTCAGTAGGCTTTTGATTTTCGCTTTCAGTGGAAGCCAATCTGAATCTTAACACTTGAAAATCACATTTGTCTTTTGCAATTACCCTCTGTTAAAAAATGAACATAACACATTTGTGTATGTCCTGCTATACACATATGCTCATATAAAAAGACTTTAGTAAAATCAATTTGCTTTACTTGTTATTAAATGTTGAGACATTATTATGAGACACGTGGGCTCATTATGTGAATAACTGAGCAGTAATAACAAGCAGTAGTTAGTTATCTGAAATATTAAATGTAGATCAATACCTGTAATGGTTAGATTAAATGCTTCCTAGCCTTTTAACTGTAGGGATTTTCTGATCTCAGAAGCATGTGAAGATGCAGCCTTTATCCTAATTACTTCATTATGAGTGACATGAGAACCAGATCCAAAGCCTACTTATGAATTGGAAAGAATTCAGGTTCTGAGATATCTCAAGCTAGAGTAGGTTTAACTGCTTTAAGAGAAAAGTATTTGCTTATGGCATGAAAACACATTCACACCTGTTGTCAGAACAGTTTCCAGTAATTCAACTTGTTTATCACAATAAGTGTTAATACTTTATTCCTTTTTCTGCTAATCACATTTTCTGTTTTATTTTAACTGACTACAAGATCTCTACAGAGCTTAGAGCCCTGTTGGGCTTTAAAGATTATGTCAGTTTTCAGTATTTTTATAACTAGAGCTCACATTGTGCTGGTTATTCTAGAAAACTGTTTAAAACCACTGCAGTCAAGCACTGGCCATCTTCTGAAGCAGGGTCAGTGGCAATGTTTTGTTGAAAGAAAGATAATTTATTAATAATTGGACTCCTGGTTGAATACATTTGTAAACAAATATCCATGTTGTATCATATGCACTAAGGGATCTGTTTAAAAACTACAGTGGAGGCAACTTTTTTTCCACCATGGACCAAAACTTTGTTTAACTTCACTTTTATTGTGCTCTTGCAGGAGGCAAGGCTCTGTTTCATTTTAACTATGAGCCTGCTGTGGCTCATAGTACTGCTCAGAGCAGCCCAACAGATCTCCAAATCATCACTTTGAATTTTAGGCAGGTTTTGGTTTTAGCCCTTAACTATACGCAAGATTAACTTTTCTGAAAAGAGAAAGATCATTTCTGATCCTCTGATGGTCTAGTTTCTGGATGAGTTAATCCTCTGCACCTCAGTCTGGGACCTCAGTTTGCAGAAAAAAAAAAGCATGGCTCCTCCTGGGTTTGCATTACAGAATCCTGCCTAACAAAACCTGTCTTCAGCAGTGATCAGTGATTGATCCTGCTCACCCCCTGATCCCCAACATCCTTTGGCCACCTCGCGCATATAAAATCCACTGAGCATAAGAAGCTGTGCTAGCCCTGACAGCTTTAGGGCACATCTTATCCAGTGTATCAAAACACAGACTTTTATCTGTGCAACATTATTAAATATTTTCCCTGGAGTGGCATGAACCCAGTACAGCCAACTGCTTTGGAGGATATTGAATTTTTCCCCCATAATGGAAGTGTCCTTATATCTCTCTTGGGGTTTTATGCTACCCAGACTGATGAGGTCATTTCTTTAAAAAGAATCTCATTGCAACAACATTTGAAATAAAAGAAATGAAAGTTGTTTTTTAAGGGTAATAACATTTTAATTCAAGCATTAAAATCTACTGCTCCCAGCACTGAGAAATTAGTCATTCAGGATTTCTACTAAAGTCAGCGTGGGGGTTTCATTCGTAGAATACATGCCCCCAGTCATATCTAAACATAAATTAAGTGATTTAGTTTTCATGGAGGAGAAAAAATAACATGGAAGAGAGGAACTGATTTGATTTTAAATAAACATGAGATGACAGTTGTCTGAAATGCCGTAATTAAAGTACTGTGTCACTGCTGGAGAGAAGAGTAGGCTCTTTGTCAATCCATGTAAACCTAGACCATGTGTTATTCCATAGTCTTGCTGTGATTCCACACATTTAATTAATGTTTGAGTCAGAGAAATGGGACTTAATGGACTGATAAAAATCTAATAATAATTGTACAGGTTCTGTATTATGACATCACAAAATTCCAGCCAAGAATATTTGAGTATCCCAGCCATAGGGTTCTTTACATTTAGTAGTTTTATAGCCCCCCAAAACTTCCTTTTAGTCTTAATCAGCCTTAAAATCAAGGTGCTCAAAATGACGAGCCTCCCGTGTTGCAAAAGTGTCAGAAAAAAGTTCTGGGCAGGTGTTCAAAGTAGTGTACTCCTGGGTAGTGTCTTCAGCATCAGTCTCTCTGCTAATTAAAAGTCTTGAGATGAGAAATTCCCTCTTCCTCACAGACATGTTTTACAATATTAGCACTCAGTCCTATACACTATCAAAGCATTGCATGCATGCTATCTAATTTTTCCTAATTAACTCATATATCATATCCTTTTTTTAAAAAAAAGTATCTAAAATTAATGACATACAGTATCACCAGCTTTTATACAACACATGCAAATGCAACTTTCAGGTGTAACAGGAAGCGTGGGTAAACTGAGATTCCTTTCTGAAGTCTGATGCACACGTTGCCATGTCTGACTTTCAACAGAAAAGAAATGAACAGTGATGAAAATGGTATATACATAGTTATCAACCCAGGACTAAATGCATGCGCAAACATCAACATGGGTAAAGGAGAACCTACAATTTCCTGAGCAGCGTTCTCAGTTTCTTAATGAGGTGCTCACCAATTACATGGGTTTCCCACAGACTTTGCTCTCCAGATCGGTAGAATGCATGAGAAATGAGTAAAGTCTGTCATTTTGGTATCCATCAAAGCTCTCTTCCATGTGAAGAAGTGGTTAATTTGCCATTTCACACTCAAAAAGGCATGAAAGGCAAAATGGAGGGGGTTAGCTGGAAGAGGAGAGAGGGGGGCTGTGACTTATGAGAAAAGACAGTAGGCCTGATTTTGAGCTTATGTTTGTTGCTGCATATCAGGAATAAATTCAGTGAAACCGTGATGATGTCAACTAGATAAGAATAAGGACACGGTTTTTTGTTTATGTGAAAAGATTTACACTATTACAACCAAAATACAAACTGAGGCACAAGGAACACTTTACAAATGGAATCATAGTACATAGCATATTTCTAACTTACAAGTTTTATTTACACATGGACATCTCTTGTTTTATTTATTTATAATAAAAGTATCAATTCCAACAAGGCAAATTTTCAACTTAAAAATACATAAGACCTCTGGGAGAAAATCCCAAAGAATACACACATCTGAGGAATGTCAGCTCTGTGTCAAGAGCACTGGTCTCAGTTACTAAATATCTTCCCTCATCGTCTTTTGTTTTAGCATTCTTGTTGTCTTTTATTTTTCTTTTCCTTTGCATAAAATGAGGCTAGCAAAGGGCCAGAGATACAGCCAGTGAGCAACATTTAGAGATATGAGAGAGGCACAGGCAAGAATCCCATTATTTGTTAATAGGATTTGTGCACATACCTCCCACACACCACTTAGGAAATTTACTCCCAAGCATCTCAGTGGCAGTTTCAATTAGAGTCAACATTTCATTTCAGCAGATGGACTGCAAACTGATGGCTATCAAACTCAAATGAATAAGGCTTGATAATTTCCCTCTCTTAAACTATGATTATGCTTTCATTTTTTTTTTATTTTTTTTTTTTTTTTTTTAATGGGAAAAATCAGTGTTGTCCCTAAGCCAGTACTTAATTTGATTTTTTGCTGAGCCCCTATGTGCTAGCAAACCCCACCCATGTGCCTGTATAGAAGCCCAATGGGTAAATTAGTGGGTATTTTTGCAGATCTGTCACACATTTCTACCATGCTTCTTATTAAGAAAGATGCCAAAGAACTACGAATACATCTGCCCTCTCCTGAAATGGAGCCATGTCTGGGGTGGAACGTGGCAACAGATATTAACATGGGAACATGGATACTAAATCCTATGTGAAAATTATGCAGAAAGTAGAGAACACAGCTCATGTAGCTTCAGGCTATCCAGATTAGCTCAAAGTGTACATCTTTTCTTTTTAATGAAAGCATTTGGAATTATTGCCTGGTGGGTGGCTCTCCAATAAGGTATCAAACCCCATTGTACATTCATGTACAAATTAATAGCAATGATGAGTTATTTCAATAAGAAGCAGTACTAATTCATAAGCAAGATGCACAAAAACAAAACACAGTATTTTTTTCATGGAAAGTGTCCTTTCTTTAAATAGTGTTTGCAAACTATGTGGATGGTGGCCTGGCTGGCTCATGATGCCTTCGGTTTCGCTTTTTTTTCATCTCCTGCACATGCTTCCATTTGGCACCGCCTTTGTTTCGCTGTCGCCGTTTCTCCCGGTGCCACATCTGTTCACAGTACTCATCCAGGCTAAAGCTGGGACTGCTGACGAGCTGGATATAGTCCTTGTACCTCAGCCGGGACTCTGTCAGCAAATCCCTCACCCGACCCTCCTCATCCTCAGTTTTCTGGGTGCTTTCCATTTGCCCATTCTCAATGACATTTAAATTCAGCTTCACAATGGTGTGGATGAAGGTGTGCTCCTGGGCTTTGCAGAAATAGGCTCCTGCATCCCTTCTTTGCAAGCTGCGGATCAGCAGCCCGTGCTCTGTTTTGATGATCCTTTCGTCTGCCTTCAGCTGTGGGGTTGGACAGAGAAGAGTGTGATACATTAATGTCATCACCAAATACAGAACACATATTCACTGCAATACAAAAGTGGAGGCAAGGTAGAGTTGGTACAAAGCACACCCATCCCATGATGAGATCCTCAATTTCTGAGTTTCTGCTACTTACTACATCACCTGCATCACTGACATTTCAGCATGCAGTATTAAAAGATAAATGCTGTACAACTGAAAGGACAGACAGTAGCACTCATCACACCAGAATGCAATAGATAGGCTGTATTCTCCATGGAAGAGCAGATGTGTAGCACCATAAATCCCATTTGTTTTTTAACTTTTTTTTTTTTTTTTTTTCCCAAAGTGTCTGTAATAATTCCAGTATAGGAGGGTGCTTGTATACCTGGAATAATCTGAGATACTATTGCACTGAAAACAACTACCACTGCTGATTTTTAAAATGAAATGCTTCAATATTCTGATCAACCCAATCTAGCTGTAGATGTCTCTGTTCGTTGCAGGGGAGCTAGACTTGATGACCTTTAAAGGTCCCTTCCAACTCAAATGATTGTGAGTCTGAATCTCTGATTCTATAATTTTTATCTTCATCAGCTGCAGTTTATAAAAGGAAGCCAATCCTATCTCTAACTCACTATGACATGACTAAAAGTTCCCAGTTAGTTTAGATGACAACAACCCAGTGCAATTCTAAGATCCATGAAGAAGAACCTTACGGGGGAGAGGGGGGAGGGGGGGGAGGGGAAGAAAAGAAAAAAAAAAGAGCTCAAGGCTGTTAATGTAGACATGCAGTTTCATTTACAAATGCAAGTATTTCCAAAAACATAACGCAGTATGACATGTTATAAAATAAGGTGCCCCTTAGAGTAATAACACTGTAAGTTAAGTGATATATCTGTGATCTGAAAATGATTTCCAAAATAACCTAACTCTGAACTAAGCTAAACTAGTGAAATAAAATAAATAAATAAGGTGAAAAACAGGATGGAGCACCGGGCACCAAAGTATTTTTGCAGCTGGGGAACACAGAAGATAAGTGCTTTGCCAAAGATCATACGAAGATTAGTATCAGAGGTAGAGGCTGAAAGCAGAGCTCCAACTCCCAGTGTCCAACACCTTTGAAAACGATTGTGTTCCACCAGAGCTTTTGCCACTCGATGTGCTGCTGCCGCACAGAGGCCGCAGCCCACAACTACACCAAAGGTGCCACTTGCTCATCCTGCAGCAAAACCAGAGCCCTGAGCAGAGCCTCAGCGCTGCCGGTGGTATTGTTATGATGTAGAAAAACTCCATAAGACTGAGTACTGGATTTAAAAAGCAGGGTGGGGGCAGAGAGAACCAACAAAGAATCTGGAAAATTTCCCAGAGTGCACATCTGACCCTCCAGCAAACTTCAGAAGATGAAGATCATGGAGGCATAAAGATGACTAAATTAGATTTATTCACAGTGGGTAAGCTACACACTGTTTCTTTATGTAAAAAATCTGCACATGATTCTCTCCTCTACTCCATGGGAAAAAATGTATTTATACATATGATTCTCCATCTGTTATGATTCTAACTCAGTGGTACTTTTTCGTAACAGGGTCTCTCGGAGCAAAGAGAAGGCTGAGATGACCTCCCAGGGCTTTTTGCTTTTCTATTTTCTAATATTCTATTATAAGAACTCTGGAAGAATTAAAGTCTTTCAGAGACCATTTCAAGATAGGCAGAAAAAGTGATACACATGTATCTAAATGAGACATCCTCATAGTAAGAATTTTCTGTGCAAGCCTGCATCAGCTACAACTGTCTTCAGAAATCTTTAGTTTAGATAGGTAGGTAAGTAGGAGGTAGATATGTAAGTAAGTAGACAGATATATGCCTGACTGCATCAGAGAGAAAAAAATCAAACACTATGAAAGCCAGTATTAGAACAAATCTCTAGCTGCCTATTCCTGTGGCCAAGTATTGTTTGGCCCCTGTCACCAGCTGATGGTGTTGGGTCTACCCTGAGCTTTAGATCCTTTGTTTGTAAATTGGATGTAATCATGACTACTGGCACCAGCAGGTGGAATCATGCTAATTTCTGCAAATTCCTGGAAAACAGATTATTTTCTGACAACAGGTGCTGCATGAGGACAAGCCATTTTTGATTTACTACACTGAGTTTCAAGCAGAGAAATCATGGTAAAGACAAAAGAGCAAACACAGAAGACAGGAGGGAGGCAAACTATAATAGAACATTTTTCCACCCGGAGAAGCTATAGCATAGAGCAGAGACTTCAATTTTATCAGATGGTTATATATATCCCAAGTAAATGTACTCTCCTTACAGTTACAGTAAAAACAGGAGCATAAAAGGCATAAATGAACCCAAGAATAAGTAGCTGTAGGCAGAAATATGTCTAGGGCAGGTGATTCTTTGTTGTGCTGTACTCCAGGAAGAGAAACAGGAGGAGCAGCCAGGAGGAAGTAATTGGATTGGCTGTTGAAATACGGCAAGGAAGCCACTCTTTTCTTTTGTCCAGACTTCTTATCAACAATGGAAAATCATACAGATCTCTACTTGAGGAATTTAAAGAAAAAGATGGAAAAGTGAAGGTAATTGGAAGACATTTGGGTTTCATAAAGCTTTGTGCAAAGACCCAGTTCCCACATTGTCTGAGTGAAAACAGGACAGATCTTTTTGAGCTCAGGGCTCAATGCAATTGCAGCAGTAGCATCTGCCTGTCGAGGCTCTGCCAGTATTGTAGTCTAGAGTGCCTTGACAGCTGTGCACCTCCTACCTTTGGAAGTGCTCCAGCTGGCTCTTTTGGCTGGCTGGGCACCAGGCCAAAGAGCCCTTGATAGTGCTTTGCCTATTTGCAGTGAAAGGAAGCCAGAATAATGGTAGATCTAGACTTGAAAATACGACTGGACCCCCAAGTCCAGCACCCTGCTACTCGTGACTGTTTACCATTTGTGTAGTGGCCATCCCTTTCAAGTTGTAAATATATTAACTGATGGAGTTGTGCCCCCCTGCATTGGCATACTGTAGAGAAAGCTAAGAGTCTGAATTGGCTGTGTCCCTTAATCCCAGCCCATCAGGAATCCTATTTCTAATGAAGCAGCATTCTTACACAATGTCCTATGTTAACCTTGGATATTGATTTATGGTGACTGTCACCTTCTTTTCTGGGCCTTCATTGTTCATTCCTTTCTTATCCTCTGGTAGGATGAAATTAGGGCTCTGATTTCACACGTATTGAGCAACACTTCATTATTGTTTTCCCTCTCACTTCACTTTTTGGTATCCTGTTTATGTTGTTTTACCCATAGGTTCAGAACTTTTCCTGTCTTTCCTCTCTACTTTTTCCCCCATAGGGCTCTGGAGTTTCATAAACACCTGGCATTTCATTATTTGGTAGTAGATCTTTAACCTTTCGCTTGAATGCTTAATGTGCTCTTTGGTTTCTGAGCTATAGATGTAAAACATATTTTATTAAATTTTGAGAGGGGTAAAAAGACTAGTTAGATAAAATACATCATTTTATTTTGTTCAACTATGGATCCATTTTTCCCCCCAGATATGTTATAATCAATAGCTCTCCTTAAATATTTATAAGTAGGGTTTAACAATTCAGAAGCACAAAGGCTTTGTTCATAAAAGCTTGCTGACATGCTTAAATTTGAGCATACAATAAAAATTAAACAGGAGATAAATAGTTTTGTTCGATAGGGAACCAGTTGTAAACCACAAAAAATGAAGCAATTGATTACTATTAACTTCCTTCTCTTAGTAGATTTTCTTAGCAGATTTTTGACTGTATTTTGAAGGTAAATTGTATATGGTAAACAGTTTTCTTAAAACCACACTAAATAAAGTATAGCACATGCTATGTATGCCGGCAATATTTGACAAAGGAAAAATATTTCCATGCAAATCAAATACTCAATTTTCACAAACTGATTTAACAATAGAAGAAAAACAGCCATTGCCAATAATAATGGCAAATCTTTAAACAATCAGTAAGTTGGAAAACAACCAAGGATTTGAAAGTGCTGTGGCACCAGCTTAGGTCAATGCCTTTTGTCCTTTGCTAATGATGTGTTTAGATAGCTCCCTCTTTACAAATAATTCACATGTCAACTCCTTCACAGTTAAAACACTGCACCTGTCTGGGAGAAGAAAGTGGCTTCAAAGCCTGCCTTCCCTCATTAATCACCATGTAAAAAAATGTTTGAGGTAAAGCTGGTCTAATCATGGGTTAGCAGCAATCCCTGAACTAATTGAGAGGAGGAGAAAAGAAAGTAAGGAACATTTGCTGAGAATTCGCATTTGACTTTGTTTTCCTATTGTCTTCCTCATCCTTCCATTTGACTGGAAATAACGATCACTGTTTTTGGTGGAATCATTATTTTATGTAACTTTGTTTCTCTTTTCCTGGTAAACTAATCATATAATTCCAACACAGCTGATAATTTCTCTATTTTTTTTTTTTTAACATCTCTTTTTATTTACTTAGAAGCCACAGGAAAAATGATGAGGGTGCTGTTGGTACAATGACAAGACGGAAACACGAGTCCTATTATTCTCAAGATGATGTTAATTTCTCATTCTAAGACTAATTTTTAAACTCTTATTCCCCAGTATATTCAAATCAAAGCAGAAATATCATTTTATATAGCAGTTCAGATTAACACCTTTTTTCTCCTTTAGGAAACTGTCAAAAATATTAGTCTTACTTAAAAATCTCAAGGTATTATAAAAAAATTTTTAAAAAGCCACGCAAATGAGTCATAATAGAATAAAATAGTGAAAGCTTGAGAGTTATAATTAGTCCCTAGTCTGCAGAATAAATTTATTTTCTCTCTCTTGATCTGTTTCTTATCAACCCAAGACTTAAGTGCATGTCTGCTGCACAAACACTGCACTGAACTTCATTCCTCTGACAGAGGGTACTACTGGAAACCCACATCTTGGTGCCTGTTCTCTTCCTTACTCAGCTACTGTTTGACTTCTAGGCTTTAAGACTGACAATGAATCTATGGCCTTTCACCACAAGATGCTGCTGAGCAGATGTGTCACAATGAAACTCACAATCATCATGATGCAAAAATCTCCAGCCATACAAAGGTACGGAAACTTATGTCTCATTCACCAATGTACGCCCACTAAGGTCAAGTGAACAGGACACAGATCCCAAGTAACCTGAAAAATAGCTTAGTCTGGCTAAAATGTGGAATGGAAACATTGCATGGGTAGCCAAGTCACACTCTCGTGCCTCACTAGATGTCTTGTCCAAGGGTGGGTCACATTCATGTACCTGTCAAAACATCAGATGGTTGTTAAGCTGTGTCTGTCAGGAAAAACTACAGCCCAGTTGGTGGGGTAGAGATATGGGAAAGAGTGAGAACTGCTGAAGAAGAAGATGGAAGTTTTTTCTGCCTTTTGGTGGATTTATTTTCATTCCCGGTAATGAAAAGAGGAGGAAAGAGAGAGCTAAAAGTGATCCATGTCTATTCTGTCACTTCAGACCATATGGTTTGCTCTGTCCCCTGCGTGGAAGCACAGCAGCTTGGCAGGCCTGGAGCCCCACGAGGCTCAGAGTGAAGGCCAGCCTAAAGCAGGAGGTCTAATAGTTTCCAGAGCCACAGGGCACCAAAACTAATGGCTTTGCAGGGAGTCTTGCACTTGTTTTTTCTAGTCCTGACACCTATTATATACCTAATGCATAGGAATTCCAGGAAAAATAAATAAATATCAGAATTTAAGCTTCAGGAAACTACAGCACTTTAAGACATTATGAATAAATGACATTCCCACTTTTTTTTTTTTTTTTTTTTTTTTTTTTTTATGAACTCCAGTTGCCAAAATACTCTCCTTCATCTCAGTGACTAACCTTGCAAGCACAGGAACAAACATGATCAATTGCGTGAGTAGCACTAAACACAAAAGCACTAGATATTTGACTCCTGACCTTAAAACAGCCCCAGACTACAGGGAAATGTACTCCCACTGGCAGCAAAATGACCTGGTGACAGCTCCTGTACCACAGGAGATCCTGTCCCTCCCCACAGGTTGCTGTGGCTGGAAGTCACACTCTGAACCATGACCCACAGGGTGAAATGTCAGAGACATCCTGCTGGGCCCAGTGCTTCCCATCTAGTCTGGATTTTGCCCTTTTCCTTCCCTCAGGAAGCTGTAGTACATGTCAGGGGTAGCGCGTAGCTGTCTATTTGCAAAGCAAGGCTTAAAGACTTGCTGAGACATTGCAGTTACAGCCCTGGAACTAAAAGTCCATAACCTAAGTTCCAGGTGCACAGAGTCATTTGCAAAGCATGGTATCGTCATCACAATAAGTTACACGCTAAGACACGCACTGAAATAATGCACAGTGTTATTTGAGAAATCTGCTGCAGGAAGGGAGAGAGCAGAAAATATAATTGTAATGGGAAAAGTTATGGCGAGGCATTGGCTGAGCAAAGATCAAGCTACACGTTAAATATGACTACCCTGTTGTTGTTACATATGTTATTTCAGTCAAACTGAAGTATTTTTTGTAAAGAAAGTAAATTACTATGACTATCTTTGAATTTTCCAGGAAGTCTCCAAATTAAGTTCTAATACCAATGAGCTCATTTCCACTGATAAGCTAGATTTCAAATTAGAAAAACTGAAAACCTTAATTTAAAGATGCCCAAATTAAAAAGGGCTTAACATTTTAACCTGCAAATGCTCTTACTGCTTCTAACAGACTTCTTAGCATTTCTACAGATTGGGTCTTTTATTTAGACAGCCATCTCTGAAATTAGGAATTCAACTTCGGGCACATGCATTTGAAAACATTACATTCATAGATGAATATATTTACTTAAAAATATATCTATTTTTTTCTTCTAAAAACGAAATGTCTCAACATGGTGATTTGAAGTGTACAAGTTGAGTTTGCTCAGGATTAGTTCCTCTGGCAAAAATTAAGCAAAAGTAATGGCTGTACACTGTCTTTAAGTGATCTGATTCTGTAATTGTCAATGTGTACATATGCATTTATGCAAGCTGTAGTCTTCAAAGACTGCAGAAAAAAAAAAAAAAAATATATATATATATATATATACATATCTATATATAAGTAAACTAACAAAACCACCCCAAGGAGTTCCGGAACATGTGCTCCAACTTTTATTTTATCAAAGCCTGATCACAGAAACACTGCTATGGCTTTAGGGACAATATGTGGTAAGAAGCTATTTGCCTACTGTTAGCATTTATAATGTAGAAAATCTGTCTGCAGATTTCTTCTTCAAATTTTCTTCTAAATTTGCCTCAAAGGTTAATCTAGCCTTTTAGCAAAGCTTTACTTTTCTCATACAAACAGATGTCAGACTGTTTACACTTAGCAAGCCCAGTAAACATTGCTGTGGAAGGCTGCTAATGTGCAAAGATGTATGCTGTGTGCTTGCTGGAGAACCAAATGCCATCACACATATGCACACATTCCCATACTCCCTCTCTAGGTCACATCCTTGGCAAGTTGGGCACTTCTGCAGCATTGGAATTTCACTGTCTGACTTAGAAGTATTTGGAGAAATGTGGGAAGTAGGGGTACAAGCATTGTCATAACAAACATTTTAGAAATAGGAACAGTGGCAAAAAATGATATAGCCTTAAACTAAGCTATGTTATTTAAGCTTATAGCCTGCTATAACTTTGTTCAGAAGTCATCTTGACCTGAAGTTTGCTCTACAATCATACAAAAGAGAATGAATGATAACATGAACTCAGCTTCCTGACTTTCAGGTGCATACCTGACCCTGTCATTTAGGAGAAAATCAACTGATCTTTTTTTTCCTAAATTGACATGGGTAAAAGTCAGAAGCAGATCTTTATAAGATGCTTTCACATCTTCAAAGTACTTCTTCTTGTGATTTAGAAATATTACATTCTTCACAGAGACTTTTTCAAGCAAAGTTTTAGCTCTGAGAATACATGCTAGAGACGTAGTAAATTACTTCAAAAACTTGGTATAGTCTCCTCTGAACTTGACATAACTTACTGTTCAGAATAACAATAATATATACATATATACAGAGTACCTCCTTAAATACATTTTAAAATGAGTGTTCAACACATGGTTAGAATTAAGCAAATAACTCATTTCTCTGATCAAATATGTAATTTCATTTGCAAACGTCTGCCTTAGGGAAGTTGAGCACTGAATCTTCTTACAAGACACTTAAAGGTAAATCAATTAAAGCACAAACCATGAATGCCCATAGCTCTTTAAAGACTGATACACTTCTAGCTGGGTTTTCACTTCAACCATCTGTGGCTGAGCATGGTTGGCCTGCTGATCAAAAGACCACAATTTCTTTCCAAGTGTGGAGAGTAATGCAGGTTAGAGATGGTATTTCAAACCAGTAATGTCCTTCCTTTGATATTCAGTGCATTTTGTGGGAAGCATGTGTCTGCAAATTAATGAGATATTTATTCTCAATAGAGAAAAGAATCTTTGCCAATCCAAATCATGAGTAATAGAAGGGGTGCAAACTGAAAGCACTGCTGCATCATAGTCAACACACATTGTGTTTTGTGTCTCACTTGGAGACAAATAGAGGTGCCTTATATCCCCACACTCTTGCAACCTGGGCCAAGTCTCCACTTTGAGGTGGCCTTCTCTCTGGACACTTCCATGCTGCGGGCAATGCGTAGGGATAATGACATTGAGTCAGCTCTCACCTAGAGGTGATGCTTCCACGAGAACCTATTCTCACCTGCATCTCCCCAGCTTTCTACACTCAGAAAACCTCATGGGACACGTTATCACTAAGAGTGGAATACTGGTTGTGTGTTTGATAGTTCCTCTCATTTAAACTAATTTTGTCTCAGATGAACATTTAACGGAAAAGTGTGTCTAATACCCAGGAGGAGCTCATTTGAAAGGGCAGTTCTTTTCCCATCTCCTTCCCCGTTGCCATGGTTGCAATCATAGCAGTATTTGGCCTCAGTCACAAAACCATTCATGTACGAGAAAGGCTGTGAAGGTTTGAAATTTACTCAAACCCAGTCCAGATCAGTCCCAGCCTGTTGACCTTTTGGGCATGTAGGAGGGCCCCTTTGTCATTAGCTCAGAAAAGAATCCTCAGGACATTGTTCAAAGGGCCAAGGAGGGACTTGGAGGTTTTTCCAGGACTTCTCCACCAGTGAGGACTCCAAAACTGCCTCCTGCAGGAGTTAAGGGCTATCACAAATCTCACTGATTTCTACTTTGGGTGGAAGGTTCAGTTTTTTAGCTTGACATCTCTGCTTCAGTACAGAGTACCATTCCAGAAAAATCTTCACACTCAACAAGAAAAAAAGGAACAACAAAAAAGCTCTTACTAACTGCACAATGTATCCCTTCTCAGGGGAGACAGCAAGCCATACAAGGAAATTCTTAGCTGCAGTGCTTAACACTGTAAGGCAAAGCAGGCAGACACTAAATGGAATAGAGATTTAATTAAAGCAAAGGGCTTTGCACATACTTTTACCTGTAAAAGTAGTTGAGCTAATTACTGAACAAAAAGGCTTTATTTATTTTTAGTACTATCAGGGTTGTTTTTTACCACTGATAAAAGCCTGATTACTCTCTTTTCTTTCTCTCTTTCTTTCTTTCTTTCTTTAATGGAAGGAGCATGGAAGTAAAAATAAGCATCTAAATCTGCTTATGATCCAGTGCAAATGGCTTTTCTCTTCCCCACTGCATGCCCCAAATGGTGATACCAGAATGCTATGTGATACCTAAAGTGAGGCAAGGAAAAGTAAAACATCAGCTAATTCCAGTAACTCCTGCCTTTCAATGCTCAGCTGAATTCTCTATAGAGGAAACTTGCCTTGATGACTATAACTTACCTCTTCTCGATGCTCTTCTCCAGTGCGTTGAATATACCACCTAATAGAGGCTTGCTGGGACTTAGGAATACATTCCAGAAAAGTTGAATTAAATTCAATGCCAAAAATCACCTTTTCATCAGCAGTTTCATGACTAATGCCTGGAAAGCAAACATGGTACAGGAGATTAACCCTGACCTGGTTTTTAAAGCAATGGGAAAATAGCCTGATTCAGAACAGATGCTATAAGAGTGAGTGAATTATAAAAAAGCAAAAGGAAACTTAACTTTTAGCTTAAACTATAACTATGAGGATTTAGAGGCAGCTGCTAACCTTACTTCAGTGCAACTGTTTTTTAAGGAGGTCAATAAAATCTATATCGTGAACTTGCTCCATTGTAAAGTGGAGGCTTTCACATTTGAGAAATTTAAAATCTGACCTGTATTTTTCCTTTATGTAATGCAACTAGTAAACCTGAGAGAGACCTGGAGCAACTGCTACAGGTAGATTGTAAGGTCTGGTTTGTTCCTCCTAAACGCTTTAAAGGAATTGCAGGGTTAAAGTCAAGTTTGCCTCTCTTCAGCATAGTTTGAAATTCCACGTTAACATGTTTCAGACCAAACTGAAGTACACAAGCAGATCTGCATTCTTTCTTGACAGTTGGTAGACCTGAGCATTTCTAATCTCTGCAAGTCCATCTCTCTTTCCTTATTCATGTCTTATCTGCCTTATCATCAGACAAAAGCTGTTTCTTACACCCTGCAAATAACACAGAGGAAGGTGAAAGCAGTGGTGTCTCCTAAATCAAAAGTTATCTCAACAGTAAAATGGATACAGTTTTGGATTGTTTTTTATTTTTTTTCTATATAGTAAAAACATGTATGAGTGCTACAGAAATTCAAGCTCTCTGCATTAAATGCTTTTCTTTCATTTCACTGTGCCACAGAGATTTCTGTAGAGCCAAATAATTTCATGCAGCCAATGCAGTCTCTGGGACAGAATCTTATACAGAATATATCTTATAATTTAAGTAGGTTTTTGGGCCATAATGTTAATTACCACAAACAGCATAAATAAGCCAAGAGCCTGAAGTGGCACAGGTCAACTTTATGGTTTTATGGCACACAGGAGTTGTCCCCAGCTGGGTAAAATTTCTGTTGGGTTTGCTATATCATGGCAAAGGATTAATACCAATTTACACGCAAAGACATTTTACATTGTCTAGGAAAATTGTCTCTTCCAGTATCTCATTATCCTTCCAGGAAATTATGACATTGTCAGCCGTTCCTACTAGCATTTCTATAACCTTGAACTTTGCACAATCTCAGATACCTCTATTTCTAAAGCAGAAAGTGAAGAAATTCTGGCCTTTGGGAATGAACAGGAGTTTTGCCATTTACTTTAATGGAAATGAGACTTTTTTTACTATGTCTGCATGTACAGTCAGAGTACTCTATACTGTGCAGCGGAGTTAGGCTTTGATCCTGTGGTGAGCAGCTCTGATTTCTGCAGGGGCTCATGCCGAGATCTGCGGCAGGCATCCAGCACCACCACAGCATGAAAGTCACCAGAGATCAATAGAAAGTGGTGGCTTTTCTCAAATCAAAATTTGAGCACAACGATACTATCAATACTGTTTTGACTGGGTTGTTCACTTTAATAAGTGACTGTGAGAGCTCCAGACAAACCCAAACTTGGTTTTGAATGCTTTTCATTTATTTTACGCTGCCGCAGAGATTGCTGCATAACCTCAGGATTTCATACTGACAGTGCACACAGCAAGGAAACTGCTGCAGCTGCCAAAGGAGCAAGCCAGACTCCTTGGCATCCGAAAAGAGGGTGTGGGAAAAGGAGGGGGGAGCTGACAGGAGAGAGTGTATGCTCTTGTTAATAACAGGAGTACTTAAGCAGCAGCGGATAGAGGAAGTGGCTGCTTTGGCAGCCGGAGTTGGGTCTTGGGACTCGCATCCATGTGGGTAAAGGGGAAAAAAACAGTGTGTTCTGCTGTCATACCTGAGGGTTTCCCCGTGAGATCCCCCCTATTTCAGTATTAACAGAAGTGCTGGTGGCTGCTCAGGGTGATGTGTACGACATTTTTCTTTCCCTGGCTGGGTGCTGGAGATGGTGGCCCACAGGGGATCCATGGGTACTGGCCTGATCTGGCTCTCCCCTAACTATTCTGGCTCTAGGAGTTTAAGTGTGGGTTGAGAAAGGTATCTGAAGCACAGTGAAGACAGCTATTTTAATGATCCAAAATACTTACTGTCTTCCACATCCCAGCATTGTGCGATAGGGTCTCCATATTTGACATCTTGCCTTCTTGCTCTCCTATGGGAAAAGCATGAAAACTTGTAACACTTCAGGCATAATTGCTGGAATTCAACAGCAAAATACAGAGGAGTTCAGCAGATGTGGAGGCGCATTGCTCCCACCCTACAGCTGCCAATTACAGTCTAACTAAAACCAGCTTCACCCTCAAAGCGGCATGTGGCCTAGAGAGATTTGTACAATTGACATCAAGAGAAAGGGCCTGTGATTTGGGAAAACCACTGGGAGGGAAAAGGGAGAAAAAAAAACAAAAGAGAGAAAAAAGTCTTCCTAGAATAAATAATGTGCCATATAGTGAGAGGAAAAACCTGCTTTAAGAGTCTTATTAAACTTGCTCTAAGACACTACTCCAGATATGGGTGTCCTGGTGGGTGGACAGTATTGTAAATGTCTGGAAAAATCTTTCATGCTCCATGGCATGAAAAAGATCTAAGCTCCAGCAGGTCATAATAAAACTTGCGCCCAGCATCAGCTCAAGAACATACTGGCCAGTAAATCAACCACTAAAATGAAGGTAGAAAACTTATATTTTACTTTGGTAACTAACTAACTAACTAAATAAATAAATAATCCAAGAGTTATAAACATAAGTTTTTAATTTTTCAGTAGAACAATTGGAGACCCAGGGAGGAGCTCCCTTTCTCACGGTGACACTGAAGCAGGACCTCACATCTACAGTGATGCCTCAGCAGAATGGCTTCCCAAGACCAAGCTGTGGTAAAATCTGTAGGCATGATGGAAGCAAAGGCTGCTCAGTGGAAGAGAAATATCCAACTGATCTGCTGGAGGATTCCCAAGGCTAGTTGCACATCCCTCGTTTTGAAGTCACAGACTTTTGGCCTACCCACCAAAGGCACCAAATGAACATCCGTTGAAAAGTGTGGACCATCAATCTCTGTGTCCCAGCCCACTTCAGGCTTCAGCAAGCTTCACGAGTGACTAATTTTGCAGTGAGCCTGAAAACTTGCTTTTCTCCTTTCATTTATGCTTATCTGAATTGAGTTTGCTTTGGCTTTGAGGGAAAACACATAAAGTTCCTTGACACCATGACACAATAACCCATGACTCATTAACTTCAATGCTTTGTCTAATTGTCAGGTTCCAGTGCTGTAGCCCCTGAGGAAGAAAGTCTCATTCCAGAGCCTGAGCTCAGCCTGCAACCTCTGACCCTCTCTACAAGAATTACTATCAGGAAGGCTTCATGAAAAGAGGAATAAGGAGGCTGTGGACTCCAGTTTAATGAACCATCTCAGAACTCTGTCTAAATCAACTAAAATTCCAGCAGGCACATCCCAAGCTGAACCAACAGCTTAGGTACTGCATCACTGCAGCCTGTAGCGTGCTCTTCTTCCATGCAGATCCATGCTGCTGCGCTAGACGATGTGGACAGAAAGTTCAGATATAGCTTCTGTCGCTGTAAAAGCTGCTCCTGGCATGGCCCAGTTGCACTGCTTATATCTCTGTCTCCCTCTCATGGCTCAGATCACAAATATGACTTGAGAGAGTGAGCTGCTTTATTAGAGTTAGTTAAATCAGATAGGAAAAGTTTGTTTAGATCACAGAGCTAAATGCATTTCTTTTATTGAGTTGACTGCACTTCATTACTGATCACTCTAGAATACTAGACTGATAGTAAGGCAAACTGCTTTATAAATACAGTTGTGCACTGTGCAAAAAGCAAAAGTTTAAGAGAGGTTCTCATGTCTCTCTTCCACTGTCACAACTTGGTACTTGACCTGAGTATCTCATGCATTAAAGCACTCAGTATAAAAAAGGGAAGTGTTGGATTTATTATCTTAGTTGAAGAAGTCAAGTCACTGCCATACACACTTAAACAATGCTATGTTGTTTTCACATCTCTTCGAGCAGAAAATGTGAAACATGGCCAGAATTTGATCAAATTTTAAGGCCAATGACATGGTGGGTTAAAGTAGTTAAAAGAAAAAACTTAATTACAAAAAGTGGTACATTCTTACTGCGAAACTCTACAATTCTTGCAAGCAACAAGATCTTTTACAGCATGTGGTAGTTTTTTCTTACCTTTTAGAAGTGGGGGCGTATCTGGAACAGGAGTTTCCATCCCAGGCACAGTATGGGTCTCTGGCAAGGCAGCAATCTGCACAAGCCTTCCCATACGTGTGACATCTGTGCAGAGAGAGCTGAACCAATCCATCCCTGGAACCAATGTACAATTGTTGCTGCAAATCAGGCAAAGCAAATGAATTAGGATCATTCTCCAAGTAGCCCGGTTCTTCTTCAGTACCACACTTGCAGACTTTCAGCCTTGCCTCAGATTTTTTAAAAAGAGAATTTCTCCTGCACTGTAAACTGTTTCTCAGGGCTCGGTGTGAACTGGGCAGTCCCCAGCAAACCCTAACGACAAAGGCACTGCTGTCTTGGAATGACATCAGCACTCAACACCCTTACACTTTTGGCTTTGTGCTGTGTCAAAAGTAAAACCACAGAAGCAGTGCATGGTGAGAGGGGCTTATAAGCACGTTTTTTTTTAAAAAGGGGCTGGCTAGCCATGATGTTATGAATCCGGGAAAAAGATGACTTTATGTGAATAAAATATCATCTTCCACTTCTGATGCTTAGGTAGTATGGGGACAATATTATTCACCTCTTCCCGGTGTGTGAGTGGATAGCTAATTGAGACAAGGGTGGTCCGAGTTCTTATTGCTGATCCAGAGCTGGCTCATGCTATACTTCCAGCTGGCTTGCCACCTTTTTTTCAGGGAAGACAGGACCCAGCTGTTCTCTGCATGCCTGCATGGCAAAATACCTCCTGTATTTGGCACACAGTGCCAAAGCCACCTCTGTGGATGCCTCCCAAGCTTACACAGAGCCATCTCAGGGCTTGGAGCTGCCCTGAAGCCCTTTCCCATAGGGAGGGTCCCAGCTGGGACTGGACCCACCAGGAGGGACCACCCTGATTCAAATTTAGAGGGGGGCCTGTTCGCAGGCTTTGCGCATACAATGTTAAGTAGAATGAGGCCCTGAGCTCTCTTGACTGCTAATACATAAAAATAACAACAATAATACTTCTAATAATTTATTGCTAGACTGTAAAGAGACAAGTATTTCTAGTGTTCAGAAAACAAATGTGCAGTGAGTTCATTCACAAATCCCACAACCATATGACTAAAGATTTGTTTCCATGAATAATTACCAGCTTGGGTACACAAATTACTGTTTGTAAGCAAATGGGAATTAGGCAGGGAAACAAGCTCTAACATGTCCCCTTCTTTCCAGACAAGTTTTAAGAGTTACCCATGGAAAGTTTGGCCAATAAGTAACAGAGGACACCTAAAAAATAACAAGCTTACTGTTCAGTGTATCATATATCCTGCAGTAATTAAATGCGTTTGTGATTACCTGCTTCTGAGAAATCTCCATGGTTGAGATAAAAGAAGGGTGCTGAAAAACAAATTAGGGAAGTACATTAGTTCACACCTTCCTTATTGTTAATAAAATGAGAACAGAACTTAACATTTCTGAAAGGTATATAAAACTGAGATTGATTTACTTGGATTAAACAAATACTAAAGCAAAAAACAAAATAAACAACAAACTCATTCATGCCTCCAGGAATGCCTCCCATAATTTTTTTGTCTTTAATTCTTAGAATTTGCAACCTACCCAACCTACTGACAGGCAACAAGCCCTTGCATCAACTTAAGCACTACTTGAAAGATTTTGATGGCATTTAAAGGATCCATACACACATCCTCTGCACCAGGATGCATTTTGCTTCCATAAAAGTGAATGTTTTGCCAGTGACTGATGTAAGAACAGGACAAAGCTCAGAGTATTATCTGTCTCCTAATACAGGATGATTAATCTAAGCCTATTGTTTAACACTGATGTGGTTCTAGGAAATAAGAGATGTTTTTTCAGCCCTTCATCCCCTTCAATTTTCTGGATTCAAAAATATAGAGGGACCGTAAATGTTACCAATGAAAATGTGAAGGAATGTCTGCTGAGTAGAAAAAATAATTTTTTTTTTTTTTTTTTTTTTTTTTTTAATATTATATGGTACATTTGCCCTTGATGTTGTGTTTTAAAAATGCACCAAATAGGCATGCATACTGAATGTCCTGATTCCTTGGCCTGCCATTAAGTAATCTTGGTATTTTCAGAGCAAAATCTATAATTGGTGTCCAGTACATTTAGAAGAAGGCATCCTTCTTCTCCAAAGAGAACATTTAAATCAAAAATTCATCATACTCATGACATATCAAAAGGCACTGTAAAAATATTTTTTTAAAGATCGTGTCCTCATGGCTGGAAAACACTGTCTCAAATTCATTTATTCAGCATGGGAATAAACTCTTACAATGACCTTGTAGAGCACATAGGAGAGAGAATGCAAAGCAATGTAAGAATACAAAGAACAAAGAAGTTGTTTCCAAATGGAAAAGAAAATCAATTGGGAAGACACATATCTCAACTTTTCTACTGTTATGATATGTCTGCGTAAGCTTCCCCACAAGCAATGAGGTCAATGAGAAATCATGCTTATGCAGAAAAGAAGTTTGGGTTTTTCACAAATTCTCTTTATGAAGAAGTCATTGGCATTAGTAGGGCTCTAGTGACTTTTCTTCACTGTCATTCAGTCAGAATAACCAAATCAAAATGGTCAAAAGTGCTAAGTCAGCCAGCATCAAAGGATTAAAACACATTGATAATCAAACTTAGTCTGATTTATTTTCTTTTAGTTCTCAACTCTTAAAGTTGTTTATTTAAAATAATTTTTCTACGTATGTGGGTTTTCTTGTTTGGTTGGTTTTTAAATTATAATTGTGTGAAGAATAATTCCAAGGCTGAGATAACAGGAATATCACCATTAAAAATAAAATAATTATAAGTAGGTCAGGCTCAAAATAGGATTGCAAAGTAGAACAAGATAGGAAAAATAAGACTTTCTATGAGATTGAAAAATATTGTTCTTTTGCTTCTGTTATTTTTTCCAATTGGCTTTCTTTATATCAAGGCATTTAAAAATTGACATACTGTCCTTCTGAAATCTTGAACTAGTTCCACTGAGCAAACAGCCATACAGATAAAGGCATTCTGAGTCTTTAATTCTCCTGAGTAATTGATGTAATGGCTGTTAATGCTTACCTTGAATATCTGTAGCTCTTCCAGGACCACCTCCTCCTTACTCCACTTCTCCTTAGTGATACTCACAGCTTTCAGTACTGTGCCTATGTCTGAAAAAAACATTCACAACATTCACAATATGAAACACACTGTTATGTCTCAGCTACTTCATTTTTTACTTCATTTCACAGTTTGACTCAAACATTCAGAGTTGGACTCCGTGATCCATCTCAAGTTATTCTAGGATTCTATGAGTTTAGTCAACTTGTACGTAAAAAACAAACTGATTTTGCAAACTTAGATCAAAAAGAAAAACAACATCAAAAACTGTGTGAGGAAGATAGAACTAATCCATCAAGGATGCAGCCTTCAAATGACGTCTACCCTTATATGCATCTGCTACTTTCTGCACAGCTCTATACAATATGTTTACTGCATGTCTGAGCCAATGCAACTGTGCATTGTTGTGCTTGGCATAGGTGGTCTAACTCTGCTGCTATACAAATACACATGCAAACACATTCATGATCTCAACTGGAATTTTCTGCATGTTTGCTTCAGCTGGAATTGTGGCCTATCTGACCCAGTCTAATCAGGATCAAATTTATTTTTAATAGAATTAATTTTCATCAGCATAGCTCCTTAATCAGAAATAGGTTTCGTCTTAATATGGGAAAATAAGAAATATATATATTTTTTTCATTTTTCTTTTGATTTTAGGGAGATTTTTTGCATATCTCCATTCAATATTAACATTTTTAATTTAAACATTGTAGAATTCACTTTTTTGGCATTATCAGGGTAATTTTTTGAATTTCATCTATTCATTAATTTCAACCTGCATTTGATGAAACACGGTGAATCTTTATTGGCTTTAATAATAATAATAATAATAATAATAATAATAATAATAAAAAGGAAAAAAAAAAAAAAAGAAAAAAACAACACCAAAACCTTAAAAAGGGCTGAGGAAAGTGAGCTGGGTGCTGAAATGGTCAATGTGGAAGTGACATAGAACAGCTTAATCCTAAGCACTATCTCTAATACTGAAATGATGGAAACTAATACACTGTAATGCAAAGAGTGAGACTTTCATTCTTGTTTTTCCAAACTACAAGAGATCATATTGCCAATCAAAGTTAAAATTATTTCAGTTTGCCTTATATATTAGACATAGTTTTGTTTTGGATGTGATTACCAAAGCCTGTGTATATACAAAGCCCAGCAATATGGTTGCATGTGCAGAACTGCCTGTCTTCCTAAACTCTGCAGTAATATGGTTGCATACATTTGAACATGTAGTAAGTTTCTTTTTTAGCTGCTGCTAAACATCTTAGCTGTTATTTGATATATTTGTATTCAGTCTCTCTATATGATATTTGAAATTTTATCTTTGAGTCTAGATCTCTTTTTTTTTTTTTTTTTTCAATCAGACAAATTTAAAGGATAAAATGGAACAAAATATTGTGTTCCTGGAAAAGAAAACTCACTTTTAAGGAAGGCATTGCAGATAAATAAGTGTCTGCATATCATAGAGTGCCATCTAGCGACTGCATGTTACACACTGGGACCCTCCAGTTACTGTGAAAAATTAGTTATCAGTGCTGGGTAGAGACAGGTAATTTGTCAGTATTTTGGTTGCTAGTCTCTTAATATAATTGTATTGCTTTGACAAACTTTATAGCAGAGAACAGAAAACATTTGAAAGCATCTCTGCAATCACTGAAGGAGTATCTCATGCTTTTTAACAAGTGAACACATCTTTTCTGATAGCTTACATTTTAAATTATTTTTCCTCCCTATTATCACCAAAATAAGTAAGCTTTAGTGGGTACTTTCAAATTCTGGGCATCTCACAGCTTGGGAATGGGTTTATTTTTCTTCTTCGATGGCCATATTAAAGACTGCATTCATAAAGCAGCAAGGATTTTCTGCAAATTTTATTCCTGACCTTCGCAGGCAGACTTGGAGTAGAGGCCACATTAATGTTCTATTCTACAGAATGGTGTTTTTCCATCTATGAATTATGGGGATTGTAGGTCACTCTCTTCTTTTGGAAGATAGAGCTGTGAGGAGAATTGAGCTGAAATACCTAAATGCTTCAAGAGAGGCTCACCCTGAGCTTGTGGGTGTGATGATGCAGGTGGGAAGGCTGAGATAGCACACACTTTGTAAGAGGTGATGCCCTATGACAATACACTCCCTTTCCCAGATCAAATCAGAGTACCCATAGCTATTAAACTACACTCTGATATCAAATTTGCTTATAGGCCAGAAAAAATGCTCTATAATCCAACAGCACTGGGGTAGGATTCAAACAGAGATTTAATTTCTCATTTCAGAAGCTCGCTCACTGCCCTAGTACAAATGTTTTCTTCTCCATGTACCTCTGTTTCATTTATTGTGAGGTAAGTATAATGGCAATGACATCCTTGGTGAAGTTTTGGATCTAGTGGTGCAAAGTGCTTTATCAGAGCTATTACTATTTAGGGAACTTCAAACTGTGGATTAAGAACATGAAATTTCAGTGGAATAAGAGCAGGGATTATACTTTAGAAGTGTTATGAATGGGTACATTAATAATTCTTAGCATATCATATATACTGTAAGATGATCCATTCAGTGATTTTAAATTTAAATACTATGTTAAAACCAAACTTTTTTCTTTACAGCACATAGCTATAAGAAAATGTAAATATGTACATAATTATCCACAGGCAAACTGCAAGTCATGTTTCGTCCCTGACAGAGTAGTTTAGTCCCTCTATGTTCAATCCTGGTCCTTTTATTTGGAGCTACTCATCTTGCTAAGTAATATTCTTAAATACATTTAAGTGAAATCATTGCTCTAGGCTGCATCTGCAATCTTTCTTAGCTTTTCAGTGTCAGAAGATATTTAATGCTGATGCACCGTGACACTGTTGATAACAGAAATTAATCCTTGAGGTTATTAAGGTTATTTTTGTTCTTTTAATTGCCTACTGATGTGCTGCCAGTGGGAATTGGAGCTAGATCACCGCGTAACATAAAGAGCAGCACTGAACAGAACTCAGAGGGTAAGAAAATCTAGCTATTCTGACCCTTTACTGGGTTATCACCTTGGGGCCATGAGCCATTAAAATCTTAATTTTAGTCTTAATTTCAGTATAAGTGTCTGAGACAACAAAGTAATCTAATTTTAGCAGTTTTATGAAGTCCCATCACACAAGCAAGGACATCTAACTGCCTCCTGAAGCTGCAAGCTTAGGAAAAAGATGTTAATCAACAGGTTTACTCAGGACCTCCTGGAGTAGAAGAGCTTTTAGAGGAGGGAACCTGTGCAGAACAACAGTGGAAGTCCTCTCCTACCTGTTCCTAGGAAAATAACGTCATATTGCCCATCCTCTGCCATGACATGATCCACCACAATCTGAGTCAGCCGATAGTCCACATTGATTCGCGTGAACACTGGTCCTCCCGTCAGCGGGTAAACGGATTTGTACATCAGGGGATGGCGCTTTATAAAGCTAATGACTTCATCGGGAAAATCTCTGGTAGATTTTATAAGTGGATCATAGGTTTTGCTTGGGCACTGAAAGAAAGAGACCAAGAAGTTGGGAAGAATAGTAGGGAAGAAATACAACAAATGTGCAGGTTTCTCTGTGTGTATCACAGAGAAAATAGACAGGAAAGCTGTCTATTCATTTTGAAATCTTGAGAGCTCTATCCAGCTCCTCAGAAACCCTGAAAAGCAGGACACTTCTCTAGATGCTTAAATAAGAGTGTAAGGTCAGTTGATTTTCATACAGTACGATTTTGGTCACTGTAGACTTGCTTTTTTTATATGTCCAGTACATCTAGTTGAAAGGAAATTTGACTTACAATTGAACAGGATTAGTGTTTGAAAGTGTGAAAGCACACTGGGCAGCTCAGCGTTTGCTTCTAGTGTGTGCTTCCCCAGTTCTTCAAAGGGCCATTTTCTTCCTCACTTCTCCTCTCTCTGTTCATTTTTCTCTCTCTCCAAAAGTGCTTCCCCTTCATCTTCATTTTCCTTAGTCCTGCTCCCACCTCTTCTCCATTCAGAACTACCTACAACTTGCTATTTTGTTTCATTTCACCCATTTTTACTGCTACTACTTAAAAGTATGTACATTCAGTTTCTACTAGTTTTATGCCCACACCAAAACCTGCCTACAGATAAATATATGCAAGCTTTGAAGAAAAACTACTGCAGTTCGTTTGTTCTTTCTCTCAGACATTTTGCTAGCATAAACTATAAGTTAGAGGGGAGATGGATTGTTTTTATAAGACAGTAAGGAAAAGAATACTGCATAAGAAAAGAGATGTTTAATGTTGGATAAAATACCAATACTTCATATTTCTACTACTAACAAGTCTACAAACACTTAAAAACTATTTGTAATTTTTGAATTCTATCATCAAATGGCTTTTACAAGCACATACAAGGTATTTTCTATTTCTTCACCTACCAGTGTTCCTGGAGAGGTGAAGACATGCCTTAACACTCACACCACTGTCATCAGTAATAATATTTATTACTAGCATTCAAGTACTACATCCACCCATGCACAAAGATGCATTTCAACCTTTTTTTCATCATATATTTGAGACAGCAAAATTCAATCATAAACAATCTAATAATATAAGAAAATAATGTTTTTTTTTCTTTTAAAAAATAGGAACTATCTGTGTATAATAGCATAAAAGATGCTATTGGTATAGACCGCTTTAGAAATTTGGTCTTCTTTGTAATCTACAGACTCAATCTATATTCTTTCAGTAATCAGGTTTTCTGTGAGAACACTTGTAAAATCAACCGGATATCAGGTTGCTCAGTGTTTCTTCTCAACCAAAAGCAGCATTTGGTCACATGTACCTCATTTTTCAAAAGAATCACTATGAAGCAGAAAGCTTCTCATGATGAGATCGGTACATCTGCAAAGAATTTCACCTCTTCAATCCCTGCCCCACTCATGGGAGTATTATCACTTTGGATATTTTACAAGACAAGGAAATCAAATCTGGAGTGAAGAGAGAAATGAATGACCTAACACGCAGGCTAGCTCTCCAGTTCCAGACACAAATATCTGTGTGAGGTTAAATTTGCTACGCTGAATAAAATAGTTTTACTCTGATCAATATAAAGGACTTTCAACAGCAAGTCTAGAGTGCCCTCCACTGGCTACCACGGGATAATCTCAAGTATTCAAAGTGCAGGCTGTATTCACTGCTTGCTGCATTTCCTTCAACAAAATCAAAGAAGATTTCATTTGTGCATAGAAAAAGAAGAGAAGAATCAGGTACAAAAATGAGAGAGAGAAGCATAAGCAAAATACTGCTGCCATCTCCCCTCTCTGGTGTAACTGGAGATGGGTGGCTGCTTCTGGTACTGAAACTGAGCTTCTGCCTTGTGGGCTGGGATCATATGTTCAACTAGCACCTAATTTCCCTTAGGAAATATTCTGAGAGCTACTGTTGAAGAAATCCACTTGCAAGTGCTTTAGCTTTGCTCCTTTTTCTAAACTAAAATACCTTGTATAAGGCTTGTAATCAAGCTTCTGGTGAACTGTAAATCCTACACCTCGTATTTATTTTTCTTGTAATAAAGGCAGATTCTCTAGATGCCAGATGAGCCCTGCAGCTCAATATTTCTCAGAAGTGACTTTTTTAACTCATTCACATAGCTGAAACCCTTGTGCAAACTCACTGCTGCAGCATCCTTTTCTATGGTTTTGAAAAAGGTAGTCTCCCCCTCTTATTGGGTCCAGAATACTTCTACTCTGAGAAAACCCCTGAACACTTCCCCAGTCTCTCCCATTTACTGCTAGAGTTGGCTTCCAATTCTGTTAGAACCATACTGACTACCTAATCAATTCAGCTGTTTCTTTTGCATATATACACATTTTGTGCACCATTCTCACATTTACTGCTTGAAGACAACACATAAACCTGTCTCCCAGGTCACCTTCAAACCTATCCCTCCCATTTTTGGGGGCAGTAAACCAAGCAACACTTATTTGCAAGGTCAGTCATGCTCATGACGCACTATGTCTGCTTTCCTTTCCATGGCTGTCTGCATCCAGCACCTTACACTTTGTCTCTAATCTGAGTCTGAGAGAGCTTCTCTTTTTAATATGGAGGCAGCGGCACCAAGATGTTTTACTGTGGCAGTACAGGTAATTATAAGAAGAAGTTGACAATCCAATCGATTGCACAATTTTACATATGAACTGCTGACTGCTGTTTTTTAACACAAAGCAATCCCTGTACTTTGTGCCAGGTGGAGCCATAACACAATCTGTGAAGAAAGAAATGCAATAATATCTGTATTGCTCTGGGAGAAAGTTAAGATTTGCAATGAAGTTGCTCTACAGTCTTCCTTCATAACTCATTCGTACAAATCTCCAGCTTGATACATATTCTATCTATGGTGAAAGTTAAGAGCTTGAGGTTAGGATTTGTTCCAGTATGTAAGATTTGACATTATCCAAAATATTTTTTATTAAGAACAGCACATACAGTGACAAGGGCTGAGCCTGTTCCTCCTTCACTGCTGGCAAACTCCCTTCTCACAGCCATGCAACTTCAGCCACCATTGCCAAAGCTTTCTCTCAGGCTCAGGACCAGCCTGGACCACTCCTTCCCTCAGGTTTCAACTGCCATGACATTGCTGGGGAGGATGCTAGTGGTAAAGCCTATGCCAGCCTTAAGCAGTACAGTGAATTCAGGTCTGTGCTTGAACTTGTCACAGAATCACAGAATCACAGAATGGCCAGGGTTGGAAGGGACCTCAAGGATCATGAATCTCCAACCCCCCTGCCACATGCAGGGCCACCAACCTCCACGTTTAATGCTAAACCAGGCTGCCCAGGTCCCCATCCAACCTGGCCTTGAACACCTCCAGGGATGGGGCATCCACAACCTCTCTGGGCAGCCTGTTCCAGTACCTCACCACTCTCTCTGCAAAGAATTTCCCCCTGATGTCTAACCTAACTTGTCCTCTGACTTTACTTAGTAAGAATGCAGCTTGAGTGATTTAAAAGACTATAACTTATTTTCTAGACCTTGTGTGGACTGATTTTGATGCGTATCTACAGAAATGAGAAATTCTGTGAGAGTACCTACTTGCTTAGCACTATTTCAGTCTAGAACAGTTAAGCCTCCCTATATTCATAAAAACTCCATATTTTTAAATTGAAAGTAGAGTTTAGGATCCTGAATCACCTAGTAGCTTTTGAAAATTTACCCACAGACAGTGAGTAAGTTAAATTGAGATACGTTCCATCATGTATTAGGTCATTTTTCCAAATACACAATTTAATGCATAGCTATGAAAAAACTGGCAAGAGAACAAAGTTGGGATTGTATTATTGTCCTCTGATTCTTGCTGAAAGGACATCCCCTGAAAAAAGCAATTTAATACAGGTACAATGCAGGAAAAGAGGAAAGTCCTACTGAAAAAAAAATAAGATAGTTCATTTGGAAATATATGTTGTAGTGAATTATCCCTAGAGGTTTTATGATAGCTTTCCCATAAGAATTTCACCCTCTGAAATGCTGAGTGTGATCTTCAATGTTCCATTTCCTGCTGTGCTTTCAGAAATTAAAGGTTTTGCAAGGTTATATCCTTGAGGTGGGTTGTAGTCTGCTTGTTTTTTGAAGATAGCAGTAACAGTTTAATAAGTTCACAAGGACATACATGAACTCATATTACATAGCAAAAGACACAAGACAATACAGAAAGAGTGTTCCCTCCACAAGAAAAAGTAGATTTTAGACTTGAGAAAAACAAAAAAATTAAGTGAACTGTGGTACAGGAGACACGTCTCAGACAGCACAGTATCTACACGAAAAGAAATAATGTGTGTTCCTGTTGCACAAGTACTACTTCAGAAATATGCATTTATCCCTATCTTTAGATCAATCCAGGTCTGAGTCTTTTCCCCTTCTGTCACAATCTGACCTCCAAAATCCTATTGATTTGAAAAGCACGTTTATCTTTGCAGGAGCTGATTGGAAGTTTGTTGAAATCAACAGTAACATATGTTCTTTAATTGCCTTTGGATAAAATCATGCATGAGACTGTTCTATATAGGATGAGAAAGAAATTCACTCTTCTTTGCTTCTCCAACCATGCAGTAACACTTCCCCTGAGTGAGAACTGCAGGTTGGCTTTCCCTTATATTTACATTCTCTGTGGTTCATGCTCTGAGCTATGAATTACAGTCCATATCTTCTGGAACTTTGCTGATTGCTTTCCTATTGACAGCTCAATCCCAGAAATTCATTTATATTTATAAAATGGGAGTAGCCCCATGGATCTTAGAGATGCCCTAGATTTTTTGCCAAAAAATGTAACAACAGAGGAAGAGGAGAGCAATGACATCATCCACTACAAACTACTATGATAAAATCTCTACCAGTACGAAACTACAAAGCTGTTAAAGGATTCCCAAAGGCCTAAACCCTACCATGCATGATACAGGGAAATTTTTGCCAGCCTATTAACAGTTCAGTAAAAATAAGGACTAAGGATTTGCTCAAAAGATCCACTCAAATCAGTAGGACTTT